ACTCAGGCAGGAGAGGTGGTAGCCAAGGCTCCTTCCAGCTGGGACTCTTCTCCATACACAGAGTCCCCTGAAAGGTCATCATTTAGGCTATAGACACCATACTTTCTGGCTGTGGACACCGTCTCTGCTTTTCCTCTCAAGGACTCGATCCCCATCCCATAACTGAACTCATGAGAGAGACCCCTAACCAGATGCCAGGCTCAAAGGAACGGTCCAGCCAGGGGGCATCCTGAGCAAATCTCCCTCATGACAGGTCCTTGGGCTTCACCCATTTCTCTGCCCATGTTCCTAACTCCCTGGGTCCCTGCTGGATGTGGGCCCCTGACACAGGGCCAGGGAGAACAAGGGGAGGCCTGTATGGAGTTGTGGGTCTCCCGCAGAGAGAGAAGGGCTTTCTGTCTGGGAACAAAGCACTGCTTGGCACTGGCTCCCCGCCTCGTGGTGAGGGGAATTTTCCTCCCTTAGGGATGTCCCTTGGGGCCTGAGTGTGTCCCTTGGTGGTTATAGGGTCTAGAAAGGGAGGAGAGGGACAAGGAAGAGAGCCAGCCTTAATGAACTGCCCTGTGCAGCTCCTCTTCAATATGCCAGGCCTGCAGCATGGTGACTGAGTCACAGGATTGAAATGGATGGACCTGCATTAGAATACAGTCTGCCTCTCTCAGCTGTATGGCTTCAAGCATTTTACCTAACCTCTCTGAGCCTTGCTTTCCTTAGCTATAAAGTGGGCATATATTCTCCATCTTCAGCTAACAGGGTGAAATGGGATGATGCCATTTTACTGTCTGTTTGAAGTAGGAGTAGTCAGTGACTGTTTGGGAGCTTGGCTGTAGCACTTTCAAGTGTCAGGTGGAGGTGTGTCGGGGGAGGAGAGCCTGTGTGGTGCCGTGTGACTGAGCATTTTTCCCCAGTAGCTTTCTTAGCTGAACTAATTTCCTATTTCACCGTCCAGAAATGGCCTGGGCTGTTCTTGAAAAAGCCACTGCCAGGAGAATGGAGTCACCATGGTTGGGTTAGTGATTCAGGCTCTGTCCTTATTCACAGGGACACGTGTAGGGATGGGGTACTTCCCCTGAGTCACTTGGTAGAGTTGGTGTCTGTCTGAATCGACTCAGGGTTCCTGAGCAAGGCAGAAGAGAAGAAGGGCTGATGGTCAGACAGACAGTAGTGCATGCTGCCGTTCTTGTCCAGTTACCCTTCACATTGTGTGGTTTTGTAGCCCTCAGTCCCTGCTCAACAAGTTGCCCCTGGAGTCCTAGGAGAGAAAGGGGTGAAGGAACTGGGACACGAGAGGCTGGCAATGGGAACTGGCACTAGATGCTCAGAGCTTGGGCCCAAGGTTATCTGAGGAGACAGAGAGAGGTCATGAGTTAGAGAAATCCTACCTACAGAGTGTGTCAGTGATGGGCGTGGGCCTGCAGAGCCACGGTCAGTCCTGAACCTGGATAGGACTTGTGCAGTGGGCTGTGGTCCCTCCAGAGCCCTTGGGGAAGGACAACAGGTCCACCCTCAGCACTCAGCTCAGCCTCCTCCAGCTGTATTTGAAGGTGTGGCCTGAGACTTCTGACGTGCCAGGCTCTGGGCTGGGCATTCAGGGGGCCGAACACAGGTTAGATCATCAGCCTAATATCAGTGTGGTGGAGTAAGAGGAGACAGCGGATGGCAAGCAGAGGAGCTCCAATGCCAAAGGGAAGGTGTAGCTCAGACACGGTGTTTATGAGAAAGCTCTGGTAGCTGAGTGAGGCTGGATTAGGAAGGAGACTCCAAGTGGCCACCGTCAGGGTTGTGGTTCTGAATGTGTCCCAGGCGGTTGTAAAGTCTCAGCATATCCAGCACAGGGAATTTGCTGATTGTCTGAGTTTGGAGCTAGATGGAGCTCTAGATGTGACTTAAGTCAGTGGCCTAATAATGTCATCAAAACTCAGTTTCTTTTGTTTTATAGCTCTGTTTTGGACTGTCTGTCCTCCTGTGGCAACAACCCAGAGCCCATTGCTTCCCTCTTTTTTGCTTGTGGTAGGGTGAGGGGAACTTGCTCCCAGGAAACTCTCTTGGAAGATGGGATTTTTGTTGTTGTTCAAGAACCCCCAGAAATCCCTTCTTATATCCCACTGACCTCGCTCAACTCTGAACTGATAGCATTGGCTGACTAGGTTAGGCCCAGGCCACAGGCTGTGGCTGAAAATGGGGGTAGTGACCAAGAAAAAGGAGAATGTAGCAGATGTCTTCATCCGCAGGCTGCAGGAACCTCTTGGGTGAAGGTGAGAAGGAACCAGGCTGGCAGAGGGGACGAGGGGAGTAATGGAGAGAAGAGGCACCAGAGGGCTGGTAGACTCCAAAGGGCTCCACACCTGGCTTCAGGGTGAGAGGGGAAAGGGAACAAGAGTGGGACACAGCCAGGGAAGGGCAAAGAGCCCGAAACTATCTCCTTGGTGAGAGAGAGGATGGTCATAGCACCACAAGAAAAAACAGAGAAGTCAAGAAAAAGAACAAGGTTGAGGAAAAAAAGTAGTGAGTTCAAATGGCTCATGCGCAAATTGGCCTATCCATGTGCCAGTCAGGTGGAGATGCTCACCTGAAATCGTATGAGCCTGGATTCAGAGAAAAGAAAGGCTAGGGCCTCAGATATGCAGGAATTCCTGCATGGAGATGACAGCAGCTATGTAGGAACAGGAGATTGGGGAGAGAGAGAAAACAAAGGGAACCCCAACTTTTAAGATGTGGGACTAAAAACATATCTCTCTCTTATACTCCAACAAACCATTGCTGAAGACTTGGTAATATTTAGCTCCAGTAACTGGCAGCAGGCAGCATCACTGACACTGCTCCCCTGCCTTAACCCCTGCTTCCCAGTCTGCACATGGTTACTGTGCACCTCTCCCAGGTCCCGGGCTCTGCAGAAACACTACGCAGAGAACATGGCCCCAGCATCCTGCACGCCTTCCTCAAATACCTATTGAACGCCTACGTGGAGACCTCTGTGCCAGGTGCCATGCAGGCCTGGAGATGCCATGTGAACATGACCTGAGTCCTCTTCTTGAGTTGAGGCCCGTGTCACCATCCATTGGGAAGCTTTCCAAGTGGCAGAGACCGTGTCTCCTTCCGTTCTTGATATTAACTCTGGGTGCCAGCACAAACCTGGTTATTGGATGGTAGACTGTGGATGCCACCTCCCTATTTTTAGCAAGTCTGTGACACAGGTTCTGTGGTGCTTTCTCCTTAGGCTGCTTGGCCTCCTGAACAGCAAACCTCTCTGACTCCTACTCCCTTCCTTCCTAGCAGCCTGTGTTCTTCACTCACCACGATCTGGGCCACTTTGGCACCCACAACCTTCAGTTGGCTGTGTTTTGGGGAGCCCTTCCCTTCATGAACTTCTGTTGAAAGAGCTGGACGTGTCCTCTCCTTCGGTCATATGTCTGTTGGTGAATGATTAAAGTGGAAGGAGAGAGGCAGATTCCATCAATTTAGGCCTTCCTAAGTTGTTCTCCAAGTTCCTGTAGCTTCTGCTTTTCTGCATTTGGTGAGCCAGGCACTTACCTGTAGCATCACCTGCCTTATTTTTGGCTTCAGTATTAATAATAATTATTGAACACTTACTGTGTGCCAACCCTTTGGCATACCATACGTCATTTATACCCAGAAACACTCTTTGAAGTGGCTTCTCTTCTCATCTGCATTTTACTGGTGCAAAAATCAAGGTTTGAAAGACCAACTGCCTTGCTCAGGGTCACACAGCTAGTGAGTAGTAGGATCAAGATTGGATCAAACTGGCATCAGAACCACAGCTCTGTACCCCAAAGCTGGTTCAGACCATCTGCTTTGGACTCACCTGAGGTGCTTATTTAAAAATCAGATTCCTGCTGGGCCCTGGTGGTTCATGCCTGTAATCCCAGCTACTCAGGAGGCAGAGATCAGGAGGATTGTGGTTCGAAGCCAGCCTGGGCAAATAGTTCATAAGACCCTGTCTTGAAAAAACCCATCACAAAAAGGGCTGGCGGAGTGGCTCAAGGTGAGGGCCCTGAGTTCAAGCCTTAGTACTTGAATAAATAAAATAAAACTAACAGTTAGATCCCTGTACCTCATTTTCAGCAGTTATGATTCATGAGCTCTGGGTTGACATTAATAAACCTGGTTTTGCAAAAAGCCTTTCACCTGGTTCTAATGCACTCTAAGGCCTGAGAATAGTGCCCTGTGTGCCTGTTTCCCATTTTGTTTTAAACCTTTTCTTGGTGAGCTGCATCTTACATACAGGAGAATGTACAACACCCACATCACAGGTCAAGGAATAATTATAAAGAGAGCCCCCATAGGACAACCATTCAAGTTCAGTGAAAGAACATGGCTGGGGCCTCAGCAGCCTCCCAGGTGACCCCCAACCCACCACGTTCCTTTCCTGGTCTTAGAGGTGACTTCTCTGACAATGGTTTGCAGTGGTCTTCCCTTGCTTTTCTGTAATACTTTGTGCTCATATGTTCACCTCTTGACAATAGAGTTTTGCCCATTTGTGAATTTTATGAACAGATGTGTGCTTTGTGATCTCAGGCTGATCTGTTTCTTTTGAGCCCATTCTTTACTTATTTTTCCTTTTATTGTTGTGCTGGCTGGTGGTATATTGTGGCATTTACAAACAAAGGCTCTTACAATGTATCAAATATGTCTTACTTGAATTCACTTCTCTCCATGAGATAGATGCACCCGTGGTGAGGCATGCTGCAGTGGCTGGTCCATGTGCATTGCCTCTGCAGCCTTCCTTGTGAAACTCCTTCATATCCTGTAGTGTCTTGAGCAAAGAGCTGAAAACACAGCAGCCGCTGTAAATGGGATTAGATGGCAGGCCGTGCCTCCATAGCTGCTGCAGGATGGTGTTGAGAACAGCAGGAGGAAGTAATCCTCAGAGGAGCCTCCTTTACCTTTGCTCCTCAGACTCTGCCTGGTGCTCTTCTGTCATGGCCAATCTGTTTCTGTCTCCCTGTGAACTTAATTCTCATTTCTGTGTCCTTTTTCAGAATGCCGAACTGGGGAGGAGGCAAGAAATGTGGGGTGTGCCAGAAATCAGTCTACTTTGCTGAGGAGGTCCAGTGTGAAGGCAACAGCTTCCATAAATCCTGTTTCCTGTGCAGTGAGTACCTCCCAGGCCTGTTATTGCTGCCAGGCGACCCGGACAGGCCTGCCCCCACAGGCTGGGCCTGTCGACACCCCAGGGAACTGGTCCCTTGGGATGTAAACAGCTTGACATTTGGCTGAAGTACAGCTGGGGAGGGAAACACTTAAGGGCCTTTGTTCCCTTCAGAAGCTGCTTTCTGAGGGGGTGAATGGCCAGTGCTGGTGGAGGTGGCGGGTGTGCAGGGGCTGAGAGCCAAGCTGGAAAGACTTGGTTAGGAAAACTTTCCACTGACTTCTTTTTCTCCCAGCTACAATCCCATCATTTCAGAAGAAGACACTTTTAGCCCAAAGTTTCACTAGCCTTCAGGTCCAAATTATCCCTTGTAAAGAGGCAAAAGAGGCCACAGCCTTATGGTGATGGTCAGTGTGGAGGAAAGTGGGCCCTACCTTGTTCAGCTCCTTCCAAGCCAGTACATCCACTTGTCTCACACCATACTCCTACTCAGACAGCCTGCAAGAAAAGGAAGAAGTGGGGGGTGGGAGGGCTCCAAGTTCATTGCTATCCACTCCCAATAATTCAGAGTGAGAGTTGCTCCATCACAAGCCTGGAGAAGCAGGAAACCAGGCACAAGACACTGAGCATCCGATATTGACCCAGGGACCCTGAGTCCATGATGCTGCCTTGACTGGTACCTGGGCCAGGTGATACATCCAGGAAGTGGCAACTTAGAGAAGCCTGTCTTTAGATTCCTAAGTGATTGATTTGATGTGATCAGAGCAGAAGCTCTGTGTTAGGAGAGGCAGCTACATCAGATGCGGTTCCTTGCGGGTTGGCTGAGTGGGAGGTGGTAGCATGTCTTGGTTAAGCACCAGGTTTCAGAGCCAATGGGATCAGGGTTAGAATCAAAATTCTACTGTCTGTGTGATGATGGGCAAGTTTTTCAATTTCTCTCTGGTTGAGTTTTCTCATTAATACTCCTCATGGTGTTGAAATAAAAGGAGCTTGTAAAAGAAACAAAGCACTTAAAACAATTTTGGGTGTTCAATAAATGATAGACACTCCCCTGGTGCATGCATGCATGCATGTGCACCTCCCCCAAGCTCATTGCTAAGGGATCCACAGGAAGGTGGTGTAATAGAAAGGAGAGCTTACACTTACAGGGGTTTGAGGTCCTGGCCCATCTGGGAGCTCCAGGAAGTGAGGTTTTGTCCTTCCTGCATCCTATGAGATAGTTAGGAAATCTGAGGTTCCTTTGTTCCTGGGAGGTTTGGGCTCCAGAGGATGATCCAGGTGGACCTAGCACTACCTGTTTGCTGGATGTTCACCACATCTCTACCCGTTGCCGGGTAGATTAGTCCAAAGTCACCCAGCACAGAGAAGCCAGGGCCCCACATCACCAATCAGGTCTGGATGACAGCTCCAGGGCTCTTGTGATGAATGGAGACACAAGCCTGGGTGGAGCTCTGCTGGCTTCCAGCCTGCAGAGGAGGCCACAAACGGCAGCAGCATCTGGTTATCGGCAGCTCATCACTCAGGGATTTTCAGCCAGTGTTTTTTTTAGAGGGAGTAAGAGAGGGCTTGGCTTTGGCTGGGAAGAGGCTCCAGGCTGCAGCGTCTGGAGAGCCTCTCTCTTTGCTTTCAAATGTTGCTTAACCACTGACTAAAAGGGGTCAGCTGTGCCCAGAGCTTCTGCCTGCAGTCCTGCTGTGGAGGGAGGTCAGGAATTCAGGGGGTGGCATAGGAAGGAAGGAGCAGGGACTGGGGCAGGGTGTGAGGGGGTGTTGGGGATTAGAAACAGTTGTAGAAAATCAGGCTGGAGAGCATGGTGGCTGAGGGTGTTATGCAGCTGGGGTCCCAGGTCCTGTGCAATTTTGGGGTGTCAGAGCTGTGAGTGAGCCAATAGCACCGCTGCTTCTGTCCCAGCCCTCTGAAGCATCACCTCTCCTGCTTATTCTTAGGACCTAGAGCAGAGCCAGCCCATGCTAGGTTCTAGGCAGAGACCTGGTAAGGAATGGAAAGAGCACCATTTCTCTTTTTCAGTCAAGTGGTGGTCAGTGTCCAGCCTGAAATCAGGGTAACCCACAGAATCAAAGGACTTTACTCCTTAAGGAAGAGAGAGAACAGTAGGATCTGGGTCTATTTGACCCAGAACACAATAAAGGCCATCCTTCTTGTTGTCTGGGTCCAGGGAAATTCCCAAAAGAAGTTCTTCTGATCCTTCAGGTCTTTGGCTCTGGGTCCAGCTCAGCTTGGCACCCACATTTCCTTTCCTAAGGATCTGGGATGGGGACTAGAAGACAGGTTGATGCAACATGGCAAGGTCAGGGAGAGCTTGGCATGAGTGGGGAGCAAGGGAAGCAGTGAAACCCTATGGTCTCAATAGGGCAGCCAGTTCCCATTAGCAGATGGTTCAGTCCTGATAAGAGAGCTGAGTTCTGGCCTGGAGCCTGCCCTGAAGCTCTGTGCCCATCTCTGTGCTGCAACCAGCTCCCTCCTAGGGCAGGATGGGGTGAGCAGTCACCCTGGACAAAAAGGGCCTGTCTGTCCTAACCCTGTACTAGTGGCTGACAGAACCGAAGCCTGCAGATTGGCCCTGGGCTGTTCCCTAGAGTCCTAGAGCTCAGGCTAAGCTCAGAGAAGCCTTACTTGTCCTCTGACCCTCAGGCTGAGGTTTGAGGTCAGTTTCATTCTTCTAGCCCTAGCTTCTTAGCCTACTCAAGAGGAATCTTAGGTTGGCAGAAAACCAGGACTGGAATTCAGGGGCTGGGATCTGGCCTGGCCCTGCTTCTGGCTATGGGAGCTTGAACTTTTTTTTTTGTGGGCCTCAGTTTTCCTTTCGGAAGCAGAGAGAAACACTCTCCATCCTTGGTGTGGGGGTGGGGGGCGGGTTGGGGGTGGGGGGGCTGCCTCTTCCCTGTATTTCCAAATAGCGTCACAAGGCCCTACCAAGCCAGGTTGTATGCAAGTACAACAAATAAACAAACTAAGCCAGTTTTTGTACACGTGTATTTTTTTGTTGTTTGTTGTTTGTTTTTGTTTTGCTTAACATGATACAGTAGAAATTTACATTCAGGTAGTCCTTGAATAAGAAATACATTCCAAAACTCCCCTTGATAGGGTCTTTCATAGACCTTACAAATGAGCTGAGTCCCCCACTACCTCACTTGGATTGAGATGGAGGGGCAGAGGGCCATGGCAGGATGTGGAGGGTGGGCTATGGTGGGCAGGTCTGGGCCTCTGAGAGAACCAATGTAGACGAACAGGTGTAGAGACTTCCTGACCAGCACTGTAGACAGCCATCTGGAGGGAATCAACTGGTAGGCCCCAATATCTCTTCTGGGCTGAGTTCCTGGGCCTCTTGCTGGATACATCAACCAAAAGAGGTCTTGTTCCCCCATCCCCTCTTTTTTTTTGTGGTTCTGGGGTTTGAACTCAAGGCTTACACCTTCAGCCACTCCACTAGCCCTGTTCTGTGATGGGTGTTTTTCAAGATAGGGTCTCATAAACTGTTTGCCCAGGCTGGCTTCGAACCATGATCTTCCTGATCTCTGCCTTCTGAGTAGCTAGGATTACAGGTGTGAGCCAAAGGTGCCCAGCTCTCATCCACTCTTATCTCTGCTTTCTGCCTTTCCTCTGAACTTGGAATTCACAATTCAATTTAGTCTCATGGAAAACAATTCTAGGCCAATACTTGACTTCCCGCCCTAGAAGGGAATGTTGGAGTCTTTGGCCTCTTGTTCCCTGCCCTCTTCCTGGGAGCCAAGCCCCAGGGGAAATGTTGGGAGGTTCCATATTTGGGTGGCCCAGAGTTCTGGTATGGGGTGGAGATCTTAAGGGCAGGACAAAAGGGTCCTTATTTAGTCTGAAGTCTCCAACCTGGGGCTCAGGGTGAGAGAAGAACTGGCCAAGGGCTGGACCCTTTAAAGGCAAAAGAATGGCCAGTTGCAAGGAACTGAGCTGAGAGCCTTCTCTGAGGGAGGAAAGAGGCCTGGCTTCCTCAGTGGTGTCTGTGGGCTTCTGGCTTCAGAAGAAGGTGTTTGAGGATGTATCATTATTTGGGAATATTATAGTACCAAATTAGAATTACAGGGCAAGACCTAAAGAAACAGTGAAGTTTGGTCTTGTGAGAGGAATAGTTGAAGGTTAAAAGTATGTGTTCTCTTGAGGCCTGGGTCTGTCCCTCCCCCTGCCTGTCTCCCTGTGGTACCAGATTTATAAGACACTAATAAGAGTAGTCAACATTTATTATGCACCTATTATGTGCAAGGTATGCCACATGTAAGATCTCATTTGATTCTCCCAGCCACATTTTGCCGCAGACATGATCACCTGCATTTACAAAGGAGGATTGTGAAACTGGAAAGGCAAAATAATTTGCCTAAGCCACACAGCTGGAAGGGAGGGCTGGGCTCTGATTCCAGGCTCTCAACCCTCTTATGCTGGAGAATGTGCACAGTCTCCTTATGAGAACAACAGGAAGGTGTTTGAGGCCCGAAGGTTTTCCACTCACCCCATTCCAATCTCTCATACCCCAGGGCTCAGGAAATTCTTCCCAGTGTTGAACCTCACTTTTCCCAGTGTCAAAAAGTGATTTCTGAGACTAGAAACTTTAAATCCTATTGCTGTGATAATTATGACCTGCATCTCATTTCAAAGCCTGCCATGTTCACCTTTCCTTCAGGGTATATCACTTCACCCACCTTCCCCCTCTTGATGCCCACCAGCATGTTTCTGTCAATTTCATTGTTGGAGGTGGGACAGGCCCAGGCCTCAAGAGAACACATGCTGCTAACCTTCAACTATTTCTCTCACAAGACCAAACTTCGCTGTTTCTTTAGGTCTTGCCCTGTAATTCTAATTTGGTACAACCCTGCCTTTCTTCCTGCTTTTCTATATTCTCCTCTCCTCTTGGTTCATATGATCTCTGTCGAGGGCAGAAGAAAGAGCTTCATTTGGTGGCAAGGAGTCAGCCTAGGCTGTTGCCTCTGAACTCTGGGGTGCACCAAAGCTGGGGAAGAATGCGGGTACAGCAGTCTGAGAGGGATACTGTCAGATTCCTGGAAGCTGGGGTTTGAGCCCCTAGTCAGACATGCAGATGCAATCCCCTGTACTCCAACTCATTTGCTACCCCAGTGGCCTCCATTTCTATGCAGCTCCTGGAAGGGCAGGATAGTATGTTTGCAGAGTGCCCAGAGAGCTTCAGCTGCAGGGGGCTGGCAGGGTTCACCCAGCTGTGACTCACCATTCTCGCATCCTCTCCATAGTGGTCTGTAAGAAGAATCTGGACAGCACCACTGTGGCTGTGCACGGAGAGGAGATCTACTGCAAGTCCTGCTATGGCAAGAAGTATGGGCCAAAAGGCTATGGCTATGGGCAGGGTGCAGGCACGCTGAGCACCGACAAAGGGGAGTCATTGGGCATCAAGCATGAGGAGTGAGTACAAGATTCTCTCCCACCTTTTCTTGAATTCTCTCCCCCATCCCTGAATTGAGCACATTTTCTGCAGTGCAAGGCTCAGAAAATCATTGGTTTAAAAGGGAGAACAGGTGTGGTGGCATGTGCCTATAATCTCAGCACACTGAAGGCTGTCGAAAACCAGAAACAAATAAACAAACTAAAATAAAAACAAACAAAGATAAATAATTACAATCAAAAAATAAAAGGGAGTCATAGCGCAGCCAAGGATCCAGCTGGGAAGGTGACAGGCCTGGCTGCTTCTGGCACGGAGCATGCATTCTATATTTTTATGTGTCACAGCTGGGAGGGGCCCCATTGCCTTATTTTATAGATGAGAAACCCAGGGAATCCCCTGCAAGTGAGTTTCTGACCCAGACCAGGGCTTGGAGTAACACTGGCCACATTAGTCTCACGTTCAGCCCCACTGAGGGAAGTCATTTTCTTGTTTTGGACATGTCACGGGCTGCCCCCCACCCCCAGCACTTCCTGACCTCTGACTTGCTGGTAAAGGATTGCTTTTGGCTGTCAGCCTGGCAATGCCTCGACTCTGGGGGAACAGACGAAAATGACAGATGAATAACCAAGTTTCGGTCAAGGTCATTGCCCCAGTGGGAATGATCTGTTGGCAGATTTCTTCTGGAAAGAATCTAATAAATAGATCAGCTGCAGAAATGAGGGGCTTGGAGTACAGGGTGTGTGTGGGGGTGATTCTTAGCAAATGGGGTGTTAAGTGATTCTGGGGTTTTAATTGGGTGATAGAGGAGGTGTGATATTTCAATGCGCTGAGCCTTCATTTGGCCATCTGTAACATGGGAGATGACCCTAGTGTTTGCCACCTTGACTGGGATTTCTGCTTAGTGCCCTGGCATGAGATGGAGGTGGGATCCTGCCTTTGCCATGCCGGCCCACCTTTATTTGTCACTGTAAGTCATTTCACTACATGTCCTTCCCTGTGCAGAGCCCCTGGCCACAGGCCCACCACTAACCCCAACGCATCCAAGTTTGCCCAGAAGATCGGTGGCTCTGAGCGCTGCCCACGGTGTAGCCAGGCAGTCTATGCTGCGGAGAAGGTGATCGGTGCTGGGAAGGTAAGGCACTAATGGGCATGGAAGGAGGCAGGAGGGGACACCTTCCTGAACTGTAGATTGCAGAACTTTGCAAGTGGTGACCCTGGCTCTGCTCAGGGCAACCTGAGCACTGGGCTTTAATTCCCTTCTAGGGAAGAATACCCTTTGTCTCTGTGGCTTGCTTGTCCCAGGCACCAACCTGTGAGCTTTCACATCCCAACCATTGATGGGTTGCCTATGGGAAATTCACAGGGAGTTGTTAAGTCCATACTCTAGAGTTGAGGACCACAGAGTCTGGAGAGTATGTGGGTCTACCAATACCCTAAACTTAAATGCAAAAATTTGTAGGAATGTGTCTCTCTGTGACAATCCATAGCTTTCATTAGATTTTCAAAAGAAGTTGTGAGGGGCTGGGATGTAGCTCAGAGGGAGAGTGCTTGTCTTGCATGTGCGAGGCCCTGGGTTCAATCCCCAGCACCAAAAAAGATTTGTGATCCCCAACATGTTAAGAACCACTCAATAATCTCATTTATCTCACAGGATATGTTTTCCCATGAGCCTGTGTACCCTGAGAGCAGAGATTTCCAAGGTTCGAGGCTTTTTCACACTTTTGTGAAAAAAGTGTGATATTCTGATAGCAGAATACCTAAGAGTGACTATTATTTAGAAAGGCTATAATGTACTTACAACTGTACTAAGGAACAGGATAAGAGAATTGGAGTTGAAGAGGAAAAGGCAGGGAGAATCCCACTTCTCTTTTGCCTGGGCCAAGAAGGGAACACTTGGCGCAGAGAATACTTTTAGGTGCTGTAGGAGTGAGCAGAGACTGAGGCGGCTTTCTTGGAAATGTGAGATGGATAGGGGCCTAAGTATGATTCAGTTCTCCTCCAGCCAGGAGTGCTGGAAAGGCAACAAAGGCTGGGGGACTGTTGAAGGCATTGAGAGAAGACTGAGACCCAGGTCCCCATCTCAGCTCCCTGGGCCCCACCACTGTCCCTTGGGCACAGAAGAAGGAGCCAGTCAGGGAGGTTCAGTGGCCAGGAAATCTGAAGGGACCAGCTTCCTTTCTTACCCTCCAGCCTGGGTGCCGGTGGCTGTGCTGAGGAAGTCTCTCTGCCCTTAAAAGGCATTGTTTTGTCCTGGATGACTGCTGCCAGCCTCCTGCTTTCCTAGGGTTTAGCAGAACATTCTACATATCAGCTTCTTAGCCTGCTCAGCTGTTGCTGATGGGAGGTGGCTGCCGAGAAATTACACTGTCTACGCAGTGGGGTGTGTGTGTGTGTGTGTTTGTGTAAGATCACTGTACCCAAACCTGGGTCCTACCTCTTCCCCTGGGAGGCTGCTTTAGGGTACCTCTTAGAACCAGATCCAGGGGCTCTCTATGGCCCCTGGATACTCAGCATATTGCATAGACCCATTCCCCTTCCAAAGCTATACAAGACATTGACTGGGGCCTCCTCTGTGCCAAGCCCCATGCAGGCACTTGACACTGAAGAAGTCCTTTAATGCTGACAGCTACCTAGTGAGGGCCATACAACCATATCACTCTCTGAGAGCTGACAGCTTTTGAGCAAATGAAGCATGAGTCCTAGAACTTCAGAGGCTGGGCTGGTGTAGAAGAAATTGCAATTACAGATACCTGTGTTGTGGCCAGACATCAGCCATTTAGAAGGGAGACCTTCCATTCTGCAAGGTAGGCAGAGGTCTCCCAGGAGAGGACATTAGGGAGCCCATTCAACTAGTGGAGTGCCTGGAAGAGTCCAGAACCTTTGTTCACATTGCTAACCCACAGGCAGAATGTGGAGAAGGTATAGAGAAGGCTTGTCTGGTGGTGTACAAGGGAGAAGGTACCTGGGCTGGACCTTACCCCCTTGCTTGCCTTTTCAGGTATAGCTGTTGCCACTAACCATCAAGCCACCATTGCAGCACTTCATAGCAGCACACCTTTGAAGATGGATGGTGTGAGGTGGTGTGTGGTTGGTCTCTGGCCTGCTCTTCCTCCCAGTACCATGGATGTCTTTCTCTCAGCCTAGCAGACTTTAGGAGTGCCCTTCCACCAGGGCTATGTCAAGGGGAATGGACTGGGGTGGGCGCACCCTAGTCACTGGTGGCAGCATTAACTCTCTCCTTTCTTACCTAGTCCTGGCATAAGTCCTGCTTCCGCTGTGCCAAGTGTGGCAAAGGTCTGGAATCCACCACCCTGGCAGACAAGGATGGTGAGATTTACTGCAAAGGTGGGTAGTTTCACTTCTAATTGAAGATGAGGCCTGAGGTGGGAGGGGATTTGTTATATCTTTGCTGAATGGGAACCAGTTCCTGGCCTTGGAATACAAGAGCCAGAGCATCTCGGGTAGCTCCTTCCTATCACTGATGGGAACTTGGCCAGAGTTGCTTGGCAATGTAGAGCCTGGCTTCCTAACACTTTTCCATCCAGCGCTCTTCATCAGATGGTGCCTCTTCCCCCATTGTAGTAGCAGAGGAAATGGGCCCAGAGTGGACTGAAGAACTCCATCATTATTGAGATGTGGGGGGGGAGGGGCATGGACATGGGGGAGGGTGGTGGACTTCCTGCTCCAGAGGTGAGGCACAGGGGTAATGGGTAGGACTGCTGGGGGGACAGCAGTGTGTGTTACCTTTCTCTTCTCTCTGCAGGATGCTATGCTAAAAACTTCGGGCCCAAGGGTTTTGGCTTTGGACAAGGAGCTGGAGCCTTGGTCCACTCAGAGTGAGGTCACCACTGCCTGCCACACCCTGCCTGCTCCTATGCTTTTCATTGCCATTCCCTTCCCAGCAGCCTTGAAGACCTCCTGGATTCTCTCACTCAGCCCTGCCACACATCACTAATGACTTGAACTTAGGCATCTGGCTCCCTTTGGTTTGGGGAGTCTGCCTGAGCTCCCACCCCACTAGGGAGATCTCCCTGCCTGGAATCTGACACTACCACCTGTAGGAGACACCTGTCTTTTTAGTCTAAGTGGGTCCAGACCCCCTCTCCCTACCCTTCACCCCACAGGCTTCTGTTCTTAGCCTCTTAGGCTGAATGGCCAAGACACCTGAGGTTACATCTTGGAGCCCAGAGGAGCAGCAGCAGGAAGAGAGGAAGGGAAGTAGGACCCAAATAGGACTGGGGAAGGCTGTAGTTTATTGGACCCCAGAGATTCTTGGTAAAAGGGCAGGCTTCTTGGTGTCCCTCAGAATAAGCCTGAGGAGTCCCAGCTCAGGGAGTCACTATGGGAGGCAGAGGGGTGTGCAGACAGGGTCATGGGCCATAGAAAGGAGCCTCTTGTTTCTCTGGTCTCTTGCCTTTGAGTCTTTGGAAGTCCATTTGGGACTGGAGAACAACTCAGGTCTGAGGAGCCAAAGTCAGGAGATTGTTTAGTTCCCTGTTTGATGGGAGAATCCGAAAACACTTCCAACACACATTCACATTTATTAGTGTTCCAAATCTTAGGCCAGTCAGCCCTGGTCCTAAACCTGGGTCCTAGAAGAGCTCCATTCTAGCCATGTCTGATTGTTCCTCAGATGTTGAGGAGGCAGACACAGCCTTCGCCTGCATCCAACGCTGCTCCCTCTGCACCCACTTCTGAGGACCTCCCGTCCAGCCATGACCCGCCCCTTCTACCCTGCCTTTCTCCAGGGACCTTCTCCAGCCACATTGCCCCATCCCTCCCAGGCCTTCAGGTCAGGAGCAGCAGCAGGAAGAAGGGGAGGGGCCAGACCTTGATGCTCCTAGTGACTGAAAGGACGAAACTGTCCACAGCAAGTGCTGCAGGTGTGGGCTGTGTTCGAGCTGATTTCTTATCTGGTCAATAAAGCCATTTAGAACAGAACTCTGGTGTGCTGATCCTATGTCTGCAGAGCATTGTCACACTCTAGGAACTGGAAGGGAACTGTACTGCAGCAATCTCATCAGTAGGAGGCCTGGTGGAAATGAACCAAAGAGGATTCGCTCCTGCATCTTCTGAGCTCTGGCTTTTCTGCACTGGTTCTAACTGAACCATGTTGCCTGAGTGAGCCAACCAAATGAACAGCACTGCTTTGCCTCTACATCTGGGCATGGGAACTTTGTGGACTTTGACATTTGAAGGGCTCAGCAAGGTCTCAAAACTGCTTAGAACTTCTCCCAGCTTGGAAAGCCCCAGCTTAAGAGGGAAACTTAGCCAGAGGAACTTTCAGGTCAAATCTGGTCAAGCTCGCTTCTGCCAATGGTGAGGGGAGGAAGGGCCTAGTGAAGCTTGTTGCCTTGTTCTAGCCTCACAGCCAAGTCCATGAAAGACCAGACTCCTGGGAAAGGGGCACATCTGGTTGCAGTGCCCCTCATCTTAGGAATACCTGTCATACTTTGGGGACTTCTCTATTTCAGTCCTTGAAAATGAGCAGAGGCTTTAACAAGGCCTTGTGTGCATATTATCCAGATGGCCAGTCCAACAGTGGCCTTGACAGACCTATACCTGTGTAAGGTCCATTAGTGGCACGGGAGGATAGGCAAGTGCAAGATGACAGGTAAAAGAGCTGGAAATCAGAATGCCAGTCCAAGGTGGACAGTAGCTGTGAGCTCCCCAAGTAGAGTCAAGGACTCCCTCACTTTGTAACTCCTCTGCCGCCAGTACAGGCGTGGCCCAGGGGAGCTGCATGGGGAGGTTCCCTGGACGGAGGACGGTGGTTCCATAAACACACGTGGACCCTCCGGTTCTGGGCTGGGGCTGAGGGAGTGGCCTGGATTGGCGCCCTTGGGGCCCAAAGGTGGAGACAGGCTGCCCTCTGCTGGCTGCGCGGGCAGGCCTCCGGTCGTCCCAGCGCAGTGCCATCCTCCACGGCCCGGCTGCTCTAGCTGTCGCGCTGAGAGATCGCCAGTTGTCCAGGGCAGTGGGCAGTAGGCAGAGGCCAGCACGCACCTCCTGGGAGTGAAACCCGGTCAAAGCCGATGGCTGAAAACCCAGGCGGCTAGGCCGGGAAGCGTCGCAGGGCAGTGACAGGCGGGGCATGGCGGAGAGAGAGCGAGGGCGCTTGCGCTGTGCCAGGAGACACCAGGTGGTGCTGTGGGTCAGGGCAAAAGGCTGGCGCTCCCTTTCTGCACATCCCATGCCCTCCTCCTCTACCCCGGGTGCTGAGAACCCTTTGCTTCTGCGCACACATCTAATCTGGTTTATCCCTGGGAGGGTTTGTGCATTAATAGCACGAATAGTGCCCTGGGGTAACCAGCCCACGGGATTGGCCCAAAGGGAGAGGGCGGGTGATTTGAGCCAGGCATCCATCCAGTGTGCCCTCAGGAGCATACTCTCCCCATCCCCCAGACTTCCTCCAACAAGAGCCTTAGCAATCTTTTGGGGTCACCTGAGAGGTTGGGGAGCCAGGGATCCCAGAAGGAGCCAGATTGCAACATGAAGACAGAGATGAGGGAAAGAATGTGTGTGGAGGCTGAGGCAGGAGGATTGTGAGTTCAAGGCCAGATTGGGCTACAAGAAGAAAGAAAATGTGTGTGTGTGTGTGTGTGTGTGTGTGTGTGTGTGTTGGGTGTGTTAGAACTACTCAGGTTGAGAGCAATCGCTGAATCCAGCGCACAGTCACTTCCGGAGAGGGCAGAAACCCAGTGAGGCTAGAGTCCCCCGAGTCCAGAGTCCTCCTGAGTCCAGTGACATAGAGATATAGACCCAGTGAGGATGGTGATGGCCAATGGAGCAGAGTGAGGCACACCTGAGGATTAATTGCTGGCTGGTTCTGGCCCCCTCCCTCACCCTCTGGCTCTGCTCCCAAACTCACCCCCTTGTTATGAGAACCACTGGTGCAGGGCACTTTTAAAATGGATTCCCAGGGGATGGTTGCAATGCTTTACCCCTGTAATTCCAGCTATGAGGGAGGCGTAGATAAAGGATCCTGTTCCGCAGCTAGCCTGGGAAAAAGTGTGAGACCCTATCTGAAAAATAATTAAAGCAAAAAGAGCTGAAGGCATGGCTCAAGTGGTAAAACTCAAGGCCCCAGTCCAGAAAAAAGAAAAGAAAAAGAAAAAAGGATTCTTAGCCCCCACCTAGAGATTCTGATCAGGTTGTCCAGGTCAGGGCCTGGGAATCTGTATTTGAAAAGAGCCTGAGCTGATTCTGATTCAAGCTTAGCCAGGTCCGAGAGCCTAAACCTGGAGCTGCTCAGCTCAGCCCCCACCTGGCCACAGGGGTTGCCTCCCAACAGTTCTAATGATTGGAGAGAACTTTCTGGAACTTCCTGTTTCCGTCCCTTAGAATTACCCAGACAGATCTAATCCTCTCCTGCTGACAGTGTTGCAGAGACCTGAAGACAGCTGCCTGAGACTGCTCCCCTTCTGCACAAACCTGGCCTCAGGGGTCCATTTCCTCAGTTGAGGAAGAAAGAGGAGACTGGTAATGTAGCTTAGTGGTGGAACACTTGACTTGTGTGAGGCTCCACCCCCCCCCCACCCCCAACCTCTCCCAAAAAAAAAAAAAGGAGGCTGGGAACTTGTAATACGTGACTGGGACAAAAGCAGCTTCCTGTGGTAAAGACCAGTACCCTGCCTGGGGACCATATTCCCCAGCCCACCCTTGATGAGACAGTTGGGAGACTGATCAGTCACTTCAAGGGCTTACTCTGTGCCATAGGTTGTTCAAAGACTTAAATATAGTCACTTATTTGATCCTCATAATAACCTTATGACACAGGGTCAGATCATTTACAAATGACCAAACTAGAGCCACCAACCAAAGACTAATTTGGGAGCCAGCTCAAGATCAAATGGCAGAGCAGGATCTGCCTGCAGGCAGCTGGGTCCAGGTCTCATCCCTGCATAGCTGTGCTCAACGCTGTCCATAAAGAAACTGCCATGTGCTAAGAGCTATGCAGAGTGGCCTCCGAACAATGAGCTAGAACTCTAGTAATAGTTAACATTTAGTAAGCAAACATGAATCTTTTTCTTTTTTTCTTTCTTTTTGGCAGTATTGGAGTTTGAACTCAGGGCCTTGTGCTTGTTCGGCAGGTACTCTACCACTGAGCTACACTCCCAGCTTTTTAGTAAGCACATGTTACATGCCTGGCATTGGTCTAGATGCTGTTTTATTTAATGCTCACAAAAGCACTAGGAGGTGGTTGTAGAACCCTTTATCATAGAAGAGGAAAGCAAGATTCAGTGAATTTTTAAGTCATTCGCAAATGGTGGAGCCAGGATTGGAAGCAGCTGTGTGACTTTGGGCCCACCTCACCCCCTCTGGGTGTCAGTGCCTCGTTTGCGAAATGAAAACGTTGGCCTCCATTAGTTGTAGGGAAGCTTCCCAGGCTCTGATGTGCAGACGCATCTGCTCAGGATCTTGTAAAACGCAGACTTGGTTCAGTAGTTTTGGGTGGTGCCTGAGACTGGATGTTTCTCAGAAGCTCCCAGGGGAAGGTGGTGCTGATACTTCGGACCTGGGGACCACACGGGAGCAGTCAGGCTTCAGAGGCTCACCCAACTCTGATGTTCTGAGTTTATGGGCCTAAGAAGACTCACCCCAAAGGCCATGAAAATTCAGGAAGCAGATTACTGTGAATAAAGCCTTAGTGGGCATTTTCCATGCCTGGACAGGTTCTTGGTGTCTTTTCTGAAGCACCTGCCCCTGAGCGTTCTAGACATCCACCCTATTGACCTCAGCCTGACTTCCCCAGAGGGTTCAAGGGCTCGGGTCTGGGCCCAGAGGGTTTTTGTTCCTGATAAGAGGCATGAAGAGAAGTCTCCATGGTCCTGCCTCCTGAGGGTACGCATGGTCCCGTGGCATCCACACTGTTTAGTCCTTTAGGGCTGTTCACAGATATGCCCCATCTTCTGGGTTCATGGCAAAGTTACATTTCTCTTCCTTGTAGTTAGATGTGGCCATGTGGCTTCCTCTGGTGTCTAAATTGACATCAAAGTGATTCATGTCACTCTTCCATAGAACTTTTTTTTTTGAAACAGGGTCTCACCATATATCCCAGCCTGGTCTTGAACTTGTAAGCTTCCTGCCTCAGTCTGTTGAGTGCTGGGATTATAGGATTGTGCAGCACTCTTGAAGAGCTTCTGTGTAAGTCCTCATATCCTTTTTTCCCTTGCAGAGAGTGTTGAGATAGGTGCCAAGACAGATCCATCAACCTAGGTCAGTGAGTCCCACAAAGAGCAGAATATCCCTGGCAGCCTGAGTGGAACATCCGATATAAGCAATGTGGTCTTTGCCGGATCCAGCTATTGAGTTTAGGAAGAGTTCATTAGTGTAGCACAACATTGTCCAGCTGTGATGGGGGGAATGCCACCTTGTCCAGGCGTTCTCCGGTACTGGAAGAACATGTTTCTTCAATGTCAGTCTCATGACCTGTTGAAGATCTAATATTTGCCTCTGAGTCCTTCAATAGGAGAGAACACTTTGCTGAGAGGTGGGGGGCAGTGGAGGAAATTCCCTGAGGATATGAACTCCATCTCCCCCTGTTTGCCAGTCCCATGAAGAGATCTCTGATTCATCCATGCACCTACTGCGTAGCTCAGCGCGTGGCTTACAGAGCACTTAATGCACATACAACAGGACATACTCGAAAAGATTCCATGAATCTCCCGGTAGATCCCTTCCAAGAATCTGCCATAAGCCTCTCTACCTTCATTGGCTCAAGTTATCTGTTAATTTTTCCTTGACCCTGGTCTCAAGCTATACAACTAACTTAACAGCCTCCTTCTCTGACTGATCTTGACAATGGAAAATGCATAAGAACATCCCTGTTGCCAAAGTGCTAGTCATAAACATTTGCAAGTCTTGGTGAAACATTTGAAAATCCTAGGCAGGAAAAAAAAAATCATTTATAAGCCCCTGACCTAGAAGGAACTGCTATTGATACTGTTCTCTTTCCTTCCATTTGTCTTCTTCTTTGTATCTCCCCACCCCTGTGGTTTCAGGGAAGTCCTGTTAAGGTCTGCTCTCCACAGAGAAAGAGCCACTCTTTTTTTTTGGTGGTGGTGGTGCTGGGAATTGAACTCAAGACTTCACGCTTGCTAGGCAGATGCCCTACCACTTGAGTCACACCTCCAGCCCAAAAGAGCCACCC